AGTCTGTGTTGTTGTCCTTGTTGTTCTTGTTGTTGTTACTTTTCTTGTTGTTGTTGTTGTTGTTGTTGTTGCTGATGTTACTGTATCTTCATTCAAACAAAAGATCAAATTCAGCTAATTAAAAGTTCTTTCCTCACATCATTTGAAAGTAATTTTCTCAACCGAATCTCTCCTGGTTTCTTACCTGATGACTGGGGCCTGAAGGTAAAAAGCTGCTCTTTGTTTACGCTACACTTAAAGTCAGAGTTAGATATGTGACTGTATGATGACTTTATAAAAGTAACAGCAGCAGAGCAGGAAGACTGTAATGTTTTTATGTTTGAGTAATCTCTATTCAGACCTCCACTGTCATGGATCCACTTCAGTTTGTGTTCACACCGTTCATATGTCCACACAGAGCAGTTTAAAGTCACTTGATCAGTGTTCTTCTGTTCAGTCACTGGTGAAGATAAGTTCCAAGAAAAAGCAAACAAACAAACATTTTTTTAAAATAAATGTAATGTGTTAGCATATTGTTTAGTTGTTCACAGCTTGTAAATACTGGTGGTCTGGTGTGGTGTAAATACTCACCGATGACATCAGACAGATAAACCAGTCAGTCTGTCTGATTTGGCTGTTTCTTTGATCTGTCCATGATTAACCAGCTCTACTGCTGGTGTGCTTCTTGAATCAAAGAAGAGCCAGTTGGTAGCGTTACAGTTATGATGATTCTTCACCACATTTTCACAAGGCAAAGTGACTTTATCTCCATCTCTGACAGTGAAGGAGAGTGAAAGATCTCCACTTAGTGCTCCTGAGAACATGACAAAGAATCAAAAAGGTAACACTGCATGTCAGAGCGCAGATAATTTTGCATAGTTATGCACACATGTTTGCATTTGTATCTTTTTCATTTTCACTAGTGTACTGAGCTGGAAATGTTTTTAAATCTTTCTCTTATACACATGTTGGATGTATCCTTACCAACTGAAGCACAGGTACAGCAATAAAAACACTTTAAGCTAAATAGATTTAACCATCATTGCTCTTAGTCTCTCTTTTCTCACTTTCTTCTTGAGCTTCTGAAAAATAAGTGTCTCAACTTCCCTGTTATTAGTGAGGTAATACATTTATACAATTCAGAATCTGCTGAGAAGATAAAATCAATAATGTCCACAATGTAAACCTAACTTTTGTAATCTCATTCATAAATGTATCTGTATTCCTACCTGTTAATTGAAGCATTAGTATCACTGATAAAAACATGTGAATCCATCTGAATTCAGCCATCATGCTTCTCTGTCTTTCTCCTTCCAGTTTCTCGCACTAACGACAGTCACAGACTTTAAAGTAGTACTTCTTGTGGCGATGCTGTGGTGACTTCCTGTGGTTGTTATCTCACCACCTCACACTAACTGTTCATAAAAGTTCAGGAAGTCCTTTCTCTGACAATTTCTGATATTTAAAATCAGCAGGTGAACCAAACAATATTAAAACGGTCAAAGGTCACTGCAGGCCGTCAAAGACCCTGTAAATCTAAAATGAACATGTAGAACAGACAACTGAATGTAGCTCAGCAACTTGTAATAATCCCACCGGCATTTGTGAAAGTGATGTGTAAAAGGTCTTAAAAAAAGGGAGAAGATGATAAATGTGTGAAGATTGTTTAGGAAAATTCTTGCAGCTCCTGTTTTTTTTTTCTTCATGTTTTCAGGATTTCTGCTCTGATAATTGTTGGTCGCTCACTGTGTGTGTGAAGTGTTGTTTTTCTGAGAAGTGAAGGGGCAGAGTTGGTGAGAATGTGGGAGTGTTACCTTCAGAAACACAGATGTTTTACACACTAAACGTCTTTTAGACATTTAAACTGAATGTAGCAGCGAACTGTTCTCACAGCTGAGGGTGTTGGTTATTACACCTTCATAAAGTTCAACCTATTGGATCTTTATGGCTCTTGTCTTTGTTGTTAACAGTAAACATTTCAATCATATCATTTTCAGCTCAGACTGTCTCATTAAAACACAAACTGGAACATTAGTGAAGATTTCTGTAAATTTTATTTTCATTCTTTTTTAAAATTTTCATTCTTTTTTTTATTCATGACTGAAAATAAGGCTGACAGCATAGAAACATTAATCTTTTCTTTGCTGTCATCACTGTGTAATCACCATTGTTATGTATTTTTGTGCTTTCCTTGCTTAATGTGAGCACTTCATATTTGGGTTGTATTTCATTGAGCAGTCAGGAGATGCTGTGATGTCTGTCTGTAGCAGCCAAGAAAGTGAAACACTCACTCTCCCACTAAATTATATACTGAGTTCAAGATACAGTTACAACCTGTCACTGTAAGATCAGCAGGTTATTTAGTCTGCAGAATCCAGGATTTACTTAAATTGATCTAAATTGGCAATTGTAGCAACCTATTGGTTGGTAATTCAGTGTGTGCTTACATAAACATGAAATATTACATTTCCAGGGTTTTGACACCCTGCTGTGAACTTTGACCACTATTAAACATTTGATGTATAATTTACTGTGCTGATGTACAGATGCAAAAAAAGTGGTGTCACAGGCTCAACTGTTGTCACTTCATTGGTACATCGTTGCTTCCTCATTAAATCTTATTTAAGTGTTTCTTTCTGAGAACTGAAGGGGAAGTGCTTTGGTGCAAATGTGGATACGACAGCACCAGCATAACTCTGCAGGTTTTAGCCTCTAATGACGACCAGACACAGGTCAGAAAAGCACAGAGTGTCTTTTAGATATTTTAAAGCTGCAGAAGATGAATGATTCTTTACTTTTAAACATTTCAGTATCCAATTATGCTTTTTAGGGGAAAAGTTTACTAGATGTAGGACATGCAAAGTATAAATTATCACCTTCTATAATGAATGAACCAGTTTACAAGATATTTATTTTCAGTAGAACAACACAATCCACAGAATGAAATGTTCACACTCCCTAATGAAAGCATTGACATGAGATAGGATACACAAAGCTGCCACATTAACACTGCAGACAGTCCAAATGAGTTGTTTCAGATATCACAGATGAAGTCATCCTTCCTCTAACTCCCTCGGAGGTCACTTGTCCTTGTATAGATGGGGATAAGCTGTTGGGCAGGTCTCAAAGTTTTGGCATATTTAAATGTACTTTAAAGTCAAATAGAGAAGCTTACATTTGTTTACATTTGTAGTCATGAAACACAAACTCGACACTGGGATGCAGGGAAGTGTTGTCAAAAAGCTCAAAAGGAGAGAAATAAATGAAGATAGAGTGTACTTATGGAACTGGGACAGGTAGGAGTGCTTCTTCTTAAAATACCAGTAGCATGAGAGTTAAAGACTGGAAACAGGACACCAAAAGTGACTAAAGTGTGAGATGCAGAACAGACTTCTGCTTAGAATTTGTATTTATTTTACAGATTGCATTATGTTTAAATCCATTAAACATAACAGTGTGTGTTTGATTGATGATGATTACATCATCATCAATCAAAACTCTTTTAAAGTCTTTGAGGTGTTGAGTTGCAGGTGGTTTGTGTGACTCCATGTGACAAAGTTCCTCACCAGACTTCTGTACTCCTCTTCCTGATCATCCCAGATACACCCCATGATGGCTGTGTCGTCTGCAAACTTCTTTAAGTGGAGACCAGATTCAACCACACTTGGATACAAATGACTTTAATTCAGCTTAAATCAGTTCTTCCTCACACAGGCTCATTAAACTAAGCTCAAAAACTCAAAACTAAGTTTCTGCAGCTTGTTACAAACTTGCATGTTCATGTGTTTTGTTTTGGTGAAAAAGAAAGACATGAAAAATGGCTTTGAATTCTTTAACCCATGACTAAAGTGCCTGTAGGAGTGTTTTGGAAATATTAGTGAGACCATGTCTTTCAAGTTCAGAAATGATCAGCAAATGCAGATGTATAATAAAAATGTAGGTATGTATGTTTCTTTTTCCAACAACCATGCTGTACAGGAGGCCTCTGCAGAAAGAGAAAACAACGTGCCAAACATGTGTTCCTATCTTCTTGGTCCAGAAAACCTCCAAAATCTACCCCTGCCTGTTGAAAACTGATGAAAAACACTGGTCACCTGCAAAAAAAACCCCACAGTACAACAAGAAAGAGCTTTTTACAGCTGATGCAGGCAGGTATTTTAGAAAAGTCACTGTGGTTTTAAAAAGGAGATCGTATCAAGATTTCAGAGTTGTTGTCCAAACTGTGACTAAAGCAAAAATAACTAGTCTCTTTTTAAAAGCTTCTGCTCCTCGTGCAAATATAAAGTATGTTGATGTGCTGATCTGTGAGATCTGACAGAAGCTGGAGGGTTGGTCAAACAACACCAGAAGATTGGACATTTTCATATTCTATCATCTTTACACACCTGTAAAATACAAAATCATAAACCTGTACTTCCTCATACCTTCAAGTTAGGTTTATAAACCCTTCTTGCTTATATGTGAATATTCTCATCAGCTCTTGTCCAGATGTTGACGACCACAACAGCTGCTATAAGTCCTGCTAAACCCAGAGGCACAATGATGAGCCTGTACCAGCATGAGCCTGGAGACAGAGCACGAAAAGCATGAAAATAATATTTTAAATGTCATTTTTTCTGATTGCTTTTGTTTTTTAATGTAGATGAATATAGACGAAAAAAGTCATCTGAAATAAAAACATTTCATTCTAAAATATAGAAATATTTAATAAAATGCTGATAAATGTTGATTACCTGGTAATTTTGTTGAATCATCCATGATTTCCAGCTCCTTTGTTGTGTTTCCAGTTGTAGTTTCTGATTTAATTGTTGTTGCGGTATTTGATTCCTCACCTGAATAAAATTCAGCGGACTTTTCATTTGGAAACTAAGTTCAGTCAATTACAGCTTCAAATCAATAAAATGAGCAGATATTTTAGGTAATTAGTCAGATTAATGTGAAGTTATTTTGAAAGGTTCTTCAGAATCTCTCCTGGTTTCTTACCTGATGACTGAGTACTGAAGGTAAAAAGCTGCTCTTTGTTAAATTCTGTTGTTACGCTACAGTTAAAGTCATAAGTCGATATATGAGTGTATGCATCATTCAGAAAAGTCACAGTAGCAGAGCAGGGAGACTCCAATGTTTTTAAATTTGAGTAATCTATATCCAGAGCTTCACTGTTATGGATCCACTTCACTTTGTGTTTACACCTTTCATATGTCCACACAGAGCAGTTTAAAGTCACCTCATCAGCTGTCTTCTGTTCAGTCACTGGTGAAGATGAAAGTGAAAGACCAAGTAAGTATAAGTTTCCTTTTTTCAAAATGCAACTTGTCAACATGTTGTTCTAACAGGATGGTTTGAGCTCAAAAATATGGTGTTGCAAATACTCACTGTGAACAACAGACAGATAAACCACAGCATCTAGACCTTGCTGTGTCCCTGATTTGCTTTGAAACTGTCTGCAGGTGTAACGACCAACATCCTCAGCTGTGACCTTCTTTATAGCCAGTGAGCATTCTGCTGTAACACTCAGTCGGTCTGATTCTTTGATCTGTCCAAGATTAACCAGCTCTACTGCTGGTGTGCCTCTTGAATCAGTGAAGATCCAGGTGGTAGTGTCACAGTTGTGATGATTGTTGATTAGATTTTGACAAGGCAAAGTGACTTTATCTCCATCTCTGACAGTGAAGGAGAGCGAAAGATCTCCACTTAGTGCTCCTGAGAACATGACAGAATCAAAAATGTTAACACTACAGAGTGCATCAAACTCAGTTTGCATTGCTCACAGAAACACCACAGCTGTCTGTGCTAAATAAAAACAATACAACTCAAAATTAGAAGTAAGTTTTAGTTTTCACATCCTTAGATGATGTACAGTGTACAACTCATCCTTACCTCCAAACTGAAGCATGAGTACAAAGAACAGAAACATTTTTATCCATCTAAATGTAACCATTATGTCTCTCAGTCTCTCTTTTTTTCTTCTTAGGCTTCTAAAGCATAAATGTGTCTTCTTCCTGTACTTATCGATCTATGACTTCCTCATTATGACTTTCAGCTTTCTTTCTCACATTTCTGCTGTTATTCTTACGCAACCAGACTGTCACAGCTTCCATGTTCCTCATTTATTAACAGCCAGAGTTGTTGTTAAAGACACCTAAAATTAATCACTTAGATAGTTACATAAGGTTTGACTGTCCTGTCCACTTTGCTTTGTTTACTTACAGTGGGGCAAAAAAGTATTTAGTCAGCCACCGATTGTGCAAGTTCCCCCACTTAAAATGATGACAGAGGTCAGTAATTTGCACCAGAGGT